ACAGCATCAAATGTTCAGTCTCCCACACTGGCTCCTGTTTCAGCTTCATCCTCCTTCAAAAACAGGATGACAGAAAGATACCATTGCAGAAGTACACATAAAGGATGAGCTTCTTGGAGTGGAGCCCTACCAAACAGCCCCAAATGAAACTGTGTGCCTTGAGGAACCAAATTCTTCACTTTTGTGAGGAAAAAACCTAGACTGATTTAAAGGCAGAGTGTGTTTTTGAAGATAGGGCCTGTTACTCTAGCCCTGGCTGGCCTGATACTCCCAGTGGGTTGGGTCCACTTATAATCAATAGACAAGACAGTCCCTCAAGTTATACTCACAGACCAACCTGGTCTGGGCAACTCCTCAATTTAGGCTTCTCCTTTTCAGATGACTCTAGATTGTATCAAGTTGGCAATTAGGCTAACCATGACAGTAGCTCAGACTGGTCTTAAATTTGCTTTGATCCTCTTGCTTCAGCCTCCCAAATTCTGGGATTATAAGCATGAGCTGCCACATCTACCTATGAAACTCTTTCAGTCGTTTTTGGGTTTTCAATAAAAATGAATCACTAAATTGTTTACATTGAACTTCCAATTCTCTATGTTATGCATTCTGTTTTGTTGGCAAGACATTTTAGTGTTTTTCCTCTTGTTAACAGGATTTATAGTAGAAAGGTGGTAAATAATTCATTTTGTTTTTGCTCTTACTTTAAAAAAAAAAAAAGAAAGAAAAAAAACCCCAGCAGGGCAGAAATATTGTACAGGCTATTTCATTTTTGAATTTTTAGCAGTTTGAATGTAATTCATAGAGAAAGAGTTAAAAAGAAACCCTGTAATTGTTGATCACAGTTAGCTCAAATAGCCCTCCCTAAAAGATAATTAGCTTTTGGAGTGATTCCAAGTGGCTTCTTTGTTGCTTATATTTGCAAAACATTTTCCACTGCTATGTCCATATCTTAGAATGTACTTAAAGAGTTTGCTAGCTAGCTGCGTGATCAGAATCATACAAACTAGAAAGCAGTGACCGTGTCTGGTCTGTGATTTACTTTGTTTTCATTGAAATTGTAACTTTAAAAAAAACCATGCATCTTAATTTTCTTTTAGTTGGTACAATATTGCAGTTCCAGAAAACAGGCAGGGAGAGGAAACTTGCAGGGCAGAGCGAACATATGGACTTCACAAAAAACCCTGTGTGAGTTAGCAGAGAGTCCATGGGCCAGATGTAGCTAGAAGTAAAATGTTAGAGCAGTTTTGTCACCTCTCTTCTATTCAGGGTTTTATCATGAAAGAGACCAAGTACACACAGAAGTAGAGAAGGTGGCGTATGCACACCCACGCACTCATTTAGTTTCAACACTTACAATCCTCAGCCATCTGGTTCACTTAGTACCCCTCCTCTCTTCTTCCCCTCTGTGTCTGGTCAGTTATTTTGAAGCAAATCCTAAATCACGATTTTGATATTTAGTTTATTTCACATGGTGGTTTTGCATCATGTAATGTTATCACCTTTAAATTTTGATGAGCATCTGTATCCAGCCCTGTTATCCATTAATATCATATTTTTCCAGTTATGTAATAGTTGTTTAGTTTAATAGTGGTTTCCTTGAATTAGCCTCTTTCTTGGTTACTTTTCCTAGCACTGTGATAAAATTTCCTTACAAAAGCAACTTAAGGAAGAGTTTATTTTAGCTCAGAGCTTCTGGGGACAGCCCATTACACTGAGGAAGAAATGACAGCAAGAACTAAGGGCAGCCAATCAAACTAGAGGCAGATAGCTGAACTTTACTGCTCAGCTAAAATTCTCCTTTTTATTTAGTTCAGGACTGAGGCTCAGCAAATGCTGACACCTGCTATTAGGTTGGGTCTTCCCAATTCAGTTAACCTCATTAGGATAATCTTATAAGGTACACCAAAGGGCTAATCTAATCTAAATATTCCTCACATATATGCCTGGAGGCCTGTCTCTTAGGTGATTTTAGATCTTGTCAAATTGACAATCAGCATAACCGTCCCAGAATCTAAATAGGAATGCCCTGTGGTATGTCTCTTAGGCCTTTCTTAACTTAATGTCCTCCATTACCCTGTGTTTGTTTAAGAAACTAGCTCATTGGTTCAGTGATTTCTCCCACATCCTGGATGGACATTGTGTCCCTGATCATGGAACACATTCTGTTTAGTTCTTGAATGTATTCTGTAGTAGCAGTTGGTTTTAGAACTAGTTCAAATTCAAGGACAAGACAATTTCATCATAGTGTGTATGTCTAACAGGCATATTAAGTTTTCTGTCTCTCTTTATGACATTAAAATTAATTAGTGAGCTCTATGTACCTCATTTGTTTGTTGTTTGAGATAGGGTCTCACTCAGTAGGTACTCTAGCCTGGCCTCTGACTCATGGCTCTCTCCTTGCCTCAGCCTCTGCTGAGTCATTTATTTCAAGCAATTATATTTTAAGTAATTTTAAGAGGTGAGTGTGAATGACAGCTGCCTTTTCTGTGAAGTATGTGGCTCAGCTTCCACCAGTCAAGCCATGCAGAGATTTTTCCACTGAACTGAAGGGAAAGGCATCTTGCTCTCATGCATGGAAAGCAGCCCACAGTAATGCCACTGGTTTGAGTGAGGTGGCATTCTCAGGTGACAGCACATAAACCCAAGACCAGAAAGAAGTCAGTCTTTATTTACTAATTGTTCATTAGTACTTTATTAAAAATTACAAGAGATGAGAGAGGTGGAAATACCACTGAAGCAGTCCCACTTCTGCCTGTTTCTGTGTTGGAGTCTGAGAGTCAGCACAGGGAGTCTTCCTCACTGACATGGTGATTTCTCACTGCAAAGTCAGAGGGAGAGGAGGTGATGGAAGATATCAGCTTGAATTATCTGAGGCCTGGAATAACCAGACCTCATGTTGATGGGTTTCAGGCTAAATTAATACTCAGCATGGGACTTGAGTTAGCTAATTCTCTTGCTGTGAGGAAAGTACTGAACAAGAAAAACTTAGGAAGGAAACAAGGTAGGTTTTATTGTGGTTCACACTTTAAGGGTATACTGCAGCATGTTGGGAAAGGCATGGTAGCAGCATTATTAGGCAGCTGTAATATTGTTGTCCTAATCAGGGATCAGAGAGAGATATGGCTGGTCAGTCTAGTACCCCAGCCCATAGAATGGTGTTTCCCAAATTCAGGATGAGTCTTACCATATCATTTCAATCCCTCTGGAATGTCCTTACCGACACATCCACAAGCGTGACTCCTAGGTGATTCTAAATTCTGTCAAGATGATCCTCTGTATCAACTGTCACAGAAGGTAACAGAAATGTTACCTGCTCTGGTTCCTGGGCCAACCTGAGAATCCTTCTGTGGGGAGGGCTTCTCTTTAGGCCCTGTATTCTTAACATTCTTCTCACTTTTTCTGTCCTTTTCACACTATATAATTTGCATTATCGTATTATATAGTCCTTGGAGACAAGGTGTAACGTATTTCTAGTTAATTAAATATGTAATGTCATAGACATTACATGGACCAGGTTGTCCATCACTTAAAGTGGTGGAAACAGGTTTTACTCAGTAATTGTTGGCAATAGGAAGAAGATTCTGAAGCCGTTTGATTTGTATGGATGGGTTGGCTTTATCTATTTGCTGGCAGTTAATTAGGAACCTGTACCCTACAGCACTAGAGCAGATGCCTTAGCCTTCCTCATTGGTTGAAGTTAAAGCATGGCTCTTAGGTATTGGAGAATGATAATTCTGGGTTTGTTTGTTTGTTTGTTTGTTTAACATAGGCATGTGTGCATTTGTGTGTGCCTATGAGAGTATAGGAATGCATGTGTGTTTAGAGGCCAGAGGTCAACCTGTAACCTCAGAACTGTTGTCCATCTCCATTGAGATGGGGTCTTTCACTGGCCTGGAAGTCACTAAGTAGATTTTGCTGGCTGCCATAGAGCTCTGGTGATGGCCTGTTTCCTCCTCACCAGCTGATATCACAGGAGCCTGTCACCATGCCTGGCTTTTTAAAGTTGACTCTGGAGTCCAGATTCAGTCATCATGCTTGTATGTTGGGGATACTTCCTGCTAAGCTGTCACCTTTGCTCTGGTTCTTAGTTTTAAGGTATATGAAGTCACGATCCTAAACCCTCTTTTATGCACATTCTAGGAGGAATGCCTAGAGAGGCCTACTAGGTGTTGGCTAGAGAAAAGAAAAAATTCTCTTCCTAGCCTTGCAGTTACTGAGGCAAGCATTTTAATGCAGGTTGGGATGGGCAGATCATCTTGGGATGTGGCTTTGTAAAGCTAGAAGCCTTGTGGCAGTTGCTTACCTCCCAGTGCAGAGAGTTGGGTGGATCTGTTCTGTGCTAAGAGCCCTGAAGTTCTCAAAGACCTTCAATATTGCTTAATGACTATGTAAGCTAAGTGAGTTTAGATAAACTCGCTTTCCTCTAATCCCAAAGAAGACACTTGAGTGGAATGCCATCTACTTCACCTTAAAGCATTGTCCTAGGCAGGAAGTAAGAATGAGAAACCACCAACTTCCTCCCATGATGTCCTCTACCCCTAATAACTGTGAATAAGAAATTTGATCTCTCTACCGCAAATATTTTACTTTCTGAAATAGTTAAGTCTGGATCAATCTGCTTTTAAAATGATGAGATGTTTTAAAATGTATTACAGATTCTGAACAATAGCAAGATGAGACAGTCTAAGAAACAGGGTCTCTCCTACAGAGCAAGAGTGTGTTTACCATTTACTGTCATCAGGAATTCCTTCATTGCCTTTACCCCAGGTTCTGTATTTACTTGTGTGATGAACTACTATGTCGTATTTGCTTTCTGTTGAAGTCAGCACCCAACATGGTGGTTAGAAGCTATGAGGTAAGTTCCTAGGAGATCAGTTTAATGGACGGTTTGACATCTTTTCCTGCCTTCCTCTACCAGAAACACCAACAGAGTGGATAGAACTATGGTAAGCAAGTGTTTATAAAATGTGGGAAGTTGTATTTCAAAACTGCTTTCTTTGTAGGTTCCTTACCTATTCCTACCTCCTGGCCTTCAATGTATGGCTTCTGCTGGCACCCATCACCCTGTGCTATGACTGGCAAGTGGGCAGTATCCCTCTGGTGGAGACCATATGGGATGTGAGGAACCTTGCTACCATCCTTCTGGCAGTGATGATGGCCTTACTGAGCCTGCACTGTGTGGCAGCCTTCAAGGTAATCTCTAAGAGTGAATAGATTCTCATAGTTGAAGACATACCGTATCTGTTTTTGCTGCTTCTTTTCTTAATGAGGGTTTGGGTCAAAATTATGTGCATCTTACTCAGAAAACTTTACAAATTAAGTTTATCTAATAGGTAATATACATTTAAGTCTTTAGCAGGGTCAATAGACCATGCCAACCTTAATTTTATGATGTCTTTATTTAAAAGATTTACTTTTATGTATCTCTTATGTGGTTGTGCCATGTGAGTACAGGTACCTGTGGTGGCCAGAAAAAGGTGGCAGATCCCATGGGGCTAGAGTTATAGGTGTTTGTGAACTGGCCAACTGGGTGCTGAGAACCTAACTCTACTCTGGCTGGTTAGTCACTGAGCCATCTCTCCAGCTCTGCATAGTTTTTTGATAATGTCTAGATACTTTATAAAAATAAAAGTTCCTTCCTGGTATGGTTAACTAATATTTGAAGGAATATATTTTATACAATGTCGTAATAAATGAAATCTTAATAAATAATACATTTACAAATATTTAAGATATGATTGAGACTTCATAGCCACTTAATTATATTAGATGGTTTGTTCTCCAGTCAGAAAAATATAAAATTAAAAAAAATTTTTAAATCATTTGAAAAGGTGATCAAAAGTAGAAGAAACTAGAAAATGTTGATTGAGAAATTGCTGCCACACTGATTGATGAAACATCTCTCACCTGGGGTGTCCTCACCTTCCAACCACAAGTTTCCTGATTGGAAGTAGTTGATTGGATGTTGGAGTAAAGTGAATGCAGTTTTTTTGTTTGTTCAGTGTTTTGAGATGGACTCCTGTCACTCAGACTGTCCTTGAACTCCATTTGTATCTGAGGATGACCTTGAGCTTCTGATCCTCCTGCTTCCGAAGCCTACATTCTGGGATTACAGGCAAATGTGGCCATACCTTGCTAGCAGCTAGAATTAAGGGGAGATTTTATAACTTAGAAATCTGGACAGAGCTTCCCAAAAGCCTCTCTGTGTATTCATGGTGACTGCTAAGCCGTTTTTTGTGTACATGAAACTCTTTGGAATGTGAGACTTGTTTGGGGGCAGGTCTGAATGAATTCTTCCCATGCAACCAGGTTCAGCAGTGGAGGGCAGACATTCACTAGTGAGAGTTAGCTTTGTATGATTTTTGTTCAAATCATTGACTGCCACACAACCAGCCAAGCACAGCTAAGATACCCAGAAACCCACACAGAAACCACAAGCAAAACAAAGAAACAATAACAATAATTTTAGAGTTCTGACCAAAATTCACAGCACTCTCAAAAAATGCAGGACTGGGAGATAACTCAGTTGTTACAGTTGAAATGATGAAAGGAAACCAGTGATGGAAGGGGATGTCTCAGCGGGCCCATGCAGAGGCATCTCTTCTCCCTGAGGGACCAGCCACATGACAGTATAGCAATAGAATAGAGTTCATTCAGGGCATGGGGAGGGGAGGCAGGAGGGTAGTAGAGGCAGAGAGAGAGAGAGAGAGAGAGGGGGGGGGGAGGGATGGATGCACAGAAGTAGAGGAGTAGAGGGCAGCCATGACCATGTGGAGAGATGGGGAAGGGAAACGAGGAGGGGCAAGAGGACAGACAGAACCTACAGGCAAGAGAACAGAGAGCAAGAGAGGGAGGAAGGGGCAAACAGCCCCTTTTATAGAGGGTAGGCCTACCTGGTTGTTGCCAGGTAACTGTGGGGAGGAGCATACCTGGTTGTTGCCAGGTAACTGTGGAGATGGAGTTTAGACAGAATACTAACAATAGTACCTCCCAAGAGTGTATGAAGACCTGAGCTTGGTTTCTGTGTGACAGATATGTCTATCTCAGTCTCCTGATGGGTTCCTCAAGGTCAGAACAAATCACAGGCTCAAGTTCTGAGACCTGGAAAACAAGCCTAGACCTCCGGTCCATAGGGAGGTGACATTGTAACCTACAGCACTGGAGCAATGTGGGTAGCTGTAATGTGGGCTCCCTGGAGGTCTACCATGGGAAGGTAGCCACTGCACTTCCTCACCTGAAGGCATGGCTTCATTCATTCCTGGGACTTCCTTTAGCATTGGCTCCCTTCCTTTCTTTGCCTTTGCTAACTCACATCACAGTCCTCATTTCTCTACTCCCCAAGTAATAGATACCTGGTATGCAGAGATTCCCCCCAATACCTGTAAGTAAGACTCCCTCCCATACTCTTAACAATGAGGCAAGGCCAGAGTAAGAGCCACTATTGGAAAGTGGTTTTCTGCAGATGGACAGCCCAACCTTGTTGAGAATAGGATTCAGAGCAGCCAAGTAGATACACTACCCCACAGACAGACAGACCAAAGAAGGAACGCCTTGCTGTTGCGTTTCCCTGTTTTAAGATATTGAAGTTTTGTTGCCCATATGGTCTGTCACAGCTTTATCCAACCCTGTGGTACAAAATTGTTCTACCATAGACCCTTGCAGTTGAACCTACTGGACACTTGTGTGTGCTCTCCTTCAAAACCTTACCTGCACCTCGCTGTGAGGCCAGACCAGGGCACTCCATGCCTTCTGACACAGCATAGTAGTCCTCACAGGGGAGCACTGAACACATACTGTTTGCAGAGTCTGGTTGTTGTCACAGTCTCCATCATCCTGACATTGTCACAGTTCAATTCCTGAAGTACAAAAGGGCTCCCGTGTACAGATAGCAGAGTTAAAACAAAGACAGTCACTGACTGCTTCTTTTGTCTCTGTAGCTCAAGACCCATGCTAACTCTAACAGTCAGAATGTTTATAAAATTATTGTTACTTATGAACATCAACCCTCTCCCTCACCCTTCCCCAGCTGTCTTTATTTCCAGTGACAGAAAACATCTTTAAGTTCTTGAAGTAGCCACAAAGTTTCCTTGGGCCCATAGTCTGGATTTATATCATGGCTCAGCTGTGGTAGTGAGGGTGAGGCTACCTCCTTACATCTTGACAGGTCAGAAAGCAGAAATGGGACAGGAAGATTAACCAAAGCCCTCTATTCAGCAAACCACTTCCTCCAGCTGGACTCTGCTTCCCAGAATAATACTATCAGCTGTGTTCAAGCACTTAAACATGCTCGTGACATTCCCCATTCAAATCATATAACAAACACCACCACAGAAATGTGCAGAGTCTGTGTGTTCAGATGCCACAGAAAGGCAGGGGTGAACTCACTAGTTTAACTGTATGCGAGAAGGTGCAATAAAGAAAATGCCAACATGACTGCTCCATGGTATGGTTAAAGGAAAGGGGATTTTTTTTGTGTGTGTGTGTTTGTGTGTGTGTGTGTGTGTGTGTGTGTGTGTGTGTGTTTTAAGATAGAAAATATCCAGAGGCATCTGGAAGAGTCCAGAGCAGAGAGAAATGAAAGCAGACTGGACATGGCCAGGACTAAATTCAAGAGGGAGAATAGAGGAGAAGAGATCATAGTGCAGAAAGAGAGAAGACGGGGGAGTGAGGGAAGGAGGGGGGACAGAGAGTGGGGAATATCAACATAGTTCGAATAGGGAGATAACCAGAGAGAAGGGGGCAGTAAGAGAGAATGCAGTGAGAACAGTGAGCATAGCCAAGGACAGAGAGTGTGAAAAGAGCAGAGCAGGCTGTGAGGTGAGACAGGCAAGGATGCTATTGTGGACTTTGAAAAGGAGTGTATGACAGTCTGTGTGAATAGGGACTGAGGGAGCCTGGAGGCCAGCAGGGCTTTGACATGCATCCACATGTACATGTCAGTGGAGCCATGTGTTCCTTCTGCCAGAGGGAAAGGAAGTGATTTCTTTTGGTAAATAGGAACCGACTTCACAAGTTTCTGAAGAATGCTGGCTTTTATCTAACCACCAGAAATCCTACTATAGTCCAGTTTGAGCTCATTTCTAGATGTATGCACAGCCTGAGAGACCTAACATTAACCAGTTATCCCTGGTAGTTGTAGCTGAATGTTAATGAAGAGCTGGAAGAGAGTAGCTAGCATCAGTCAATATGCACAGGTGGGCACTGGACTCACCGACCACATTCATGGTCTTTAAACCTGTAAGATGATATATCTTTAAAAGTACTTGAAAATTTATCAAAAGTTGATTTTCTTTTAAAAAGCAATTCATTTTAAGGGTGCTGAGACTGAGTTCAGTGCCTCCCATGTACAGATCTTTATCCCAAGTTCTCTTGATGTTATTGCTACTTAGTCTCTTCTATTCCTCGGTAGTGAACAGTGAAGCAGGAAGCATTAGAAATGCATCTTTTTATTCAGTGGCTATCCAAAGACCAGAGGCCAATAGCCAAGCCTTCCCACAGCTTTTCTGTGTTGGGGGTGATGTCACCTGTGAAGCTCCTTCCCCCCTCCTTCCTCTGCAGTCAAAACTACACATCATATGTCCAGTGTCCTGTGTGATATGATCTGCTTGTTCCTAGAGCTCTCTGCTCTGCTGTTGATTTGGGCCCACAGGAGTTTTTCCACATCATTAAATAATTTTCTTTATTCTTTGCCTTCATGGGGCAATCACATTGGCACAAATCACACTATTTAATAAGCAGAGAACCTACCTATGGCTCTGATGTTTATGTCTCAGTTGGAAGACTCACCAAATGTCTGATACAAGAATTAGAATGTTGTGTATTTCTAACAAGTGTTCATGCATCACTAATGGCTTTTTTTCTTTTTCTTGATTTGTATGCTCTGTGACTGTCAGTGAAATGTAGTGTCCACAATGAATGCTCTGATTTAATCTTCACTTTTATATGCATGCATATATGTGTATGTGCAAGTGTGTACATACAACAGAGGACAGGTTGATATTGAGTATTTTCTTCAGTCACTCTCTCTACCTATTTACTTTTATTTTTATTTTTATTTTTTGAGGCAAATCTCTCACTGAGCCTGGAGCTCACTGGTTAGATATCTGACTAGCCAGCAAGCCCCACGCCGCTCCTCTCTACCTACCAGCCTTGGGGTTACGAGCACTCATTGCTGTGCCCAGCTTTAGATGTGG